TCCCCACACAGCTGGAGAGCCCAGATYGGTGCTATGTCCCTCTGTCCCTCTCCCATTGCTGCAGTGTCTCCTAAGGCACAGTCCAATGCCAGGATTGTTGTGGTGGGGTTTGGGAACCAGGAAGCTGAGGAATGACATGAAACAGTGCCATGGGTGAGTGTRTGACTGGGGGAAGAGGGGGGAGCAGAGCTTGGGGCTGGCCTTCCTTTTCCTGCCTGGACAAGGTAATAACACTTCAACTGCTTTGGTGAAGTCCCTTGAGACCTGCTTGGCTGTGGGGATGGGAAGGTCCTTCCCTGTCTTGGTGTGAGTGTGGTCCCCCTGTCCATGGGGTAAGACCTGGGATTTGTTACCTCCAAGAAGCATCCCAGTGAGCACTGGTGTCTGCTGGACCAGTCTGAGGGGTTGGTGGGGCAGCCCCTCCCAAGGTACTTAGAGTGGGGAATCTCTCCTGGGCCACGGTGAGTGCAACCTGAATTGCTGCTGCTGCTTCTTGCAGACATCTGGAGCCTGGGGGTCATCCTCTACATGCTGGTGTGYGGCCACCCCCCCTTCCAGGAGGCCAACGACAGCGAGACCCTGACCATGATCATGGACTGCCGCTACACCGTCCCCCCACACGTGTCRGCACAGTGCGCTGAGTGAGCACCACCCCCTCACTGTACCCCCAGATCCCAACTTGCTGCCCCCGCATTGGGTGCCTCAGCCCTGGCAGATGCCTGGGAGCTGAGGYGGGAGGAGGGGGTAAAGCTGCTTACTTTGGGGTTCCCATAGTGCTGCAGTGTTGCAGCATCACCCTTTTCCCCAGTCTCATCTCCAGGATGCTGCAGCGGGACCCAAAGCAACGAGCATCCCTGGAGCAGATCGAGGGCCACACGTGGCTGCAGGGGGTGGACCCGTCCCCTGCCAGCCGCTCCCTGCTGCCCCTCACCTCCCACAAGCGAGTGTCCGAGGAGGAGCACGAGATCATCCTCCAGGCCATGATGTGCGGGAACATCGCGGATCGGGACACCATCCAGGAGTGAGTGATGGATACCACGGTGGGAGCCCCTGCAAAGGGCTCTGGGGTCCCTCCAAGCACATCCCTTGTGTGCTGATGCAACTCCCTCTGTGCCACACAGGGCGCTGGAAGCCGACCGCTACAACCACATCACAGCCACGTATTTCCTGCTGGCGGAGAGGATGCTGCGGGAGAAGCAGGAGAAGCAGGGCCATCGCCTCAGYCTTGTTTACAACCTGGCCAAGGAGGTGCAGAGCAGGTGAGCCCCGCTATGTCACCCTCCCCGGCATCTTGGGTCCTCAGGGCAGGGGTTCTGCCCATCCCCTGCCCTTTTCCATGCCACAGCCCTTGTGATGCCCGGCTGGGTACTGACACCTCCCTCTCTCCCCTTCCTCAGGCCCAACTTGTCAGACACGTTTGGCTCCGGGGGCAGTGCCGGCAGCCTCCTGCCCTTCACAGAGACAGGCAGCCTCGCCGGCGGGTCCCGSCTGCCCCCCGCAGGGGACATTGGCAGCCGGCAGCCCACCGGAACCCTGCTGAAGGTCCCCGCCGTTGAYACCACCATCACCAAGAGCACCCCAGCCCTGCAGCAGATCTGTGAGGAGGAGGAGGAGGACGAGGAGGAGGAGGAGAGGCCCAGCGCCATGGAGAGGAAGAGCAGCTCGCTGAACCAGGAGCAGATGCGAGCCTTCCTGCGTGCCCACCGCCCGCCCGGCCGCGGGGAGGTCTGGGGGCCGGGGCTTGAGCTGGGGGGCCGGGGTGGGCGCTCRGGGGCGGCCTGGGCTGGGAAGGGAGTGAGCGGGGCCCGGGGTCCCCCAGTGCTGCAGGGAAATGGAGCTGASCCCCCAAGGAGGGAGGAGAACACAGAGCCTGGGGGCTCTTCAGCAGAGTTCTCCAATGAAAGGGGAGCCATCCTGTCACCCCAGAGCAGCTCTGCTGGAGTTCCCCAGGTATTGGGGGCAGCCACAGCCCCTGCTACCCTCCCAAGCCCTGCAGACGCGTCCCTAGGGCAGGGGGAGCAGACCAGCCCGGCCCAGCAGTCGGTGGAGAGCTCAGGCCCTGAAGGGGGCGCAGAGAGTGTGATCAAGCTGGACCCGGGCAAGAGCAAGGGGGGCAGCCTGCGGGACAGGCTCCTGCAGTTTCCGCTCTGCGAGAAAGCTCTGGCATTCAAGCTCCGGCCCGGCTCCAAGGAGAGCCTCCTCTCGCTGGGGCAGTTCAACTGCTGCCATGTCATTTAAAGCCCTGGGACTGACCCCACTCTGGGGTCTGGGAGGGCGCCCACTCCCCTGCCTTTGGTCTGGTGGCGGCTGTGGGGCTGGCAGGGAGCAGTGTCGTGCTTTGTCACCCGTGGTGGCCGCCCTGCCAGCACCCACCCCTGGAACCCTGACCCTGTCTGGTTGTGACAGACCAGCCCTCAGACAGGCCTGCCCCGGGTGAAGCAGACTGGGGTCCATCCCCACACGGGCCAGTGCGTACCCAAACCTTTGGGACAGCTGCATGACCCTGCTGGGATCAGATGGACCACAACACTTTTTTAACTACTAGAAATAATTTTTTTAAATAGTCTATTTTAATGTAATTAAATAGAGATTGCTATATCCCCCAGGCCCCCCAGTGCCCCAGCCCCACAGTGTGCATGGCCCGGGGCTGGGCTGTCCTGCCTGCAGCCCCCCCTCCAGCCCCAGCTGGGGCCAGGCACAGCCCGGCCCRTGACCCCAGGCCGTTCCCGGGCCCTCCCTGCAAATAAGCTTCCTATTTATTATCTCTTTGTTTTCTTGCTGGCAAGAAATGAATGACGACGGAGGCGTGGGCCGGAGCTCGGCCCGAGCCGTGGCACATGCGTGTGGAAGGATCGGAGCCGCTGGGAAGCAAAGTTTGTCAGGACAATAAAATAAGCTCGCGGGTTGATGCGGGTGCTGCGTTGTTGCAAGAACATCACTGTCCCCCCAGGGAAGGGGCCAGGGATGGCTCCCCGGGAACATCCGCCTGAGTTGGGGTGGGCAGGGACCCAAAATGGAGCTCAGAGCAGGTACCGAGGGGAGTAAGGATGGGGATGATGAACACCCAAAGGTGAGGGAAGGCCTGGGCATACCAGGAGGCACAGGGAGGGTGCTCCACACCTCCATAAGGGTAAACCATATTCAGCCCCAGGGTGCCCCCAATAGCTTTCCCCGCTCTCAGCCTGAAGCCACTCCTGAGCTCTCAGTTTCAAACCCTGCCCGGACTTCCTTGCCTCCAGCTCTGCTGTGCCTCTSCCTTTTCTGTCCATCCTCTTTCTCCCCACTTTCAGGTGTACCCCCAAATAACACCATCATCCAACATGAGATCTCAGTACTGGCTGTCAGGAAAAACAGAGCGGTGGTGTGGGGGGTGTCAGATGGGATGGAGCCAGCTCTGGAGAGCTTGGGGAGTTGGTGATGGGAAAAGAAGGGGGGAGGTCTGCCCTGGAGTCCCTACAGCCCCCCCCAGGGCCCCAGCAGCAGGAAGGGAAGCTGGTCCTGCCCACAGGCTCCCTTTTCATGATCCTAAAGGATAAACCACCGCCTGAACAGGGGCTTGAACCCTGGACCCTCAGATTAAAAGTCTGATGCTCTCCCAACTGAGCTATCCAGGCTCACATTTGGGGTCTGGGGGGGCCTGTTTGTGACAGGCAGGGGRGACCCCGCTTTGCTGCAGCATTGGAGGGACAACGTGGGACCCATTTTGATGTTTTCCACTCCACACCACCCCAACGAGGCACCCCAGACTGAACACCCGGGTTCTGGGAATCTCCCTGGGCACTGATCCGGCACAGGGATGCGCCCTGGAAGGTGCCGGTGCCATAGGGATGCGCAGGCAGGGAGGGGAGGGGAGGGGGATGCAGCGGGAGCGGCTGTAAAACCTCCACCGCTCCCAGAGAGGGCAGGAGGGACCCGCCGGGGGACAGAGGCAGCGGTGGGGGATGCGGCCGCGCAGGATCCGTGCCCTGGGCTGTGGTGTCCCCGCTCTGCGCTGTGGCCGCACAGGATCCGTGCCCTGAGCTGTGGCCGCAGCCAGCTCGGTTCGAATCCGAGTCCCAGCGGCGCTTTTGCGCGTTAAGGAGGGAGAGAGGCAGCCGCGGGGAATTGGGTTGCAGATACCGAGCTTGGATGGGCACCTAAAGGTGCCATCCCACATAYTCTATTGCCCTTCCTCGCCATTATTCAGGAAGGGGCTTTTTTGCCCCATAGGGAACCCACCCTGCCAGCTCATCCTGGGCCAGCTCGGAAGGGGCTGGAGAAGATTAAAGCCGACCCCAAATGCAGACGGGGTGGGGGAGCCCTAGGGACAGCCCGCAGAGAGCCCYTGGGGCGCTTTCAAACACCTCGGGCACACTAATTGGCTTCATTAGAACAGGCAGTGGTGGCATCAGCCCCCCTTCTGCTGCGGCTGGGGACAGCACTGTGAGCCGGGGGAACAGCGGCCTCGGGACCGCCCTGCAGAGGAGATCAGAGCCCGTATACTGTGGGGAGTGTGTGCGTGTCGACTGAACAAGAGCACAAGCTTAATTATCCTGATTAATTAGAGCCCGCTCTTTTTAACCCATATCTGGGGCTGTGACCACAGCGCTATGYGCCCCCACGGCAGCCACGGAGGCACCACATCCCCCCGAAGTGCACCGGCCCCGGGGTGGGCAATGAGGGGGAAGCTCCAGGGCGGAACGGAGGCAGCAGGGTACAGGGAGGGGCCTGATGAGCCCCCCAGGGAGTCCCTAAATCGCCCCCAGACCCCTCAGAGACCCCAAAAGCTCCCCAGACCCCGGGGTGATGGTCCCTGGATCCCACGAAGAGGCACCATTAGGACCCAGCCCCTTCGGAGAGGTGTTCGGAGGGTGGACCCTACAGAGCCGTGCTGTGACACCCCRACACCCAAACCGGCGGCTCCCGGGCGCGCACCCGCCGCTGCTCCCCCGGCCCTCCCTGTCCCTTTCAGGCCGCCGTCAGCCCGGCCCATGGGGGCGGAGCTCCCCGCCCACCCGGAAGAGCCCGAGTGGGACCACGTGGTGCGGGACCACGTGTTGGCAGCGTCATGGCGTCAGCGCCCAAGAGGTTCAAGGTACGGGGGCAGCCGGGGGCTCTCGGGGGMCTGGGGACACTCCGGCCCCTTGGGACGGCGGTACTGAAGGGATCCGCKATCGGCCTCATGGCTCCTTCCCCTTCAGACCATGTTTCCATCCMCAGGCGGCGGTCGAGAGCGGCGCCCAGGAGAAGGGTAGTGGCGATCCCCTCTCCGGGTTCCTGGCATGGTGCGGGCGGGCYGGGGTGGAGCTGAACCCCAAGGTGAGGCACCGCGGACCGGCCCGGGCATCCCCCAAGTCCGCCCCGGTCTCTCCGCTGTACCCCTCACCGCTCCCTCTGGCCCCAGGTCCGSCTGAGCAGGGAGGGCGCGGTGGCGGGGTACGGGATGTTGGCCGCCGAGGATCTGGAGGCGGGAGAGGTGCTGTTCACCATCCCTCGCACGGCCCTGCTGTCCCAGCACACCACGTCCATCCACGCACTCTTGCAGGAAGGTGAGTGCAACCTTCTTGTGTCACTTGAGTCTGCGTTGCCTTTTAAAGGAGTAAATGGGTCTGTGGTAAAGCCTGGGGAACGTTCCTGATTTTTGCAGGATGCTGTAGGGCTGTTAGATACCAGGTAGGAAAGGGGAGGGCTGGGCACGCCCTTGCTTCCCTAAGGGAGCCCAGATCTGTGTTGGGGAGGGAGAAAAGTTCATTAGTGCAACATCTCCAACTTCTAAGTGATAGGCATGTACACAATGCTGCTTTCATCCATGCTGGTTTCGTCGTGGCACTGATAGGAAAAATAACAGTTCCTTGGTTGCTGTAGGCACCCAGAGCTTCAAGCTGAGGAGGGCAAGGCAGTGGGGCTTGGGAGAGTTATCCACTCCAGAGAAGCAGCTTATAGTCCTGGTTCAGCTTAGGACAAACCCAAGACAAACCAAAATAAAAGCTCAACCTCTGCCTCCAGGCTGAAGACAAGTATGGCTGAAGACAAGTATGGAGGCTTGTCATACCAAGTTTTGGTTCTGAAACACAGAACAACTTAGGTTTTCTCCATCATGTCTGTTTCTGTAGCCCAGGAGTCCCTGCAGAGCCAGTCCGGTTGGATCCCTCTGCTGCTGGCCCTGCTACACGAGTACACAGCCAGCAACTCCCACTGGCAGCCGTATTTCTCCCTCTGGCAGGACTTCCGGAGCCTGGATCACCCCATGTTCTGGTAAGGTGAAAGCAAGGGGGGCAAGGGGGAGGCTCAGTCTTACAGCTGAAGGCAGGCACAGGCCTGGGGCTGCTGAGCAGAGTCCTGGGGGRGACCCCAATCCAGCAGTTCTAGTGCTGTACTGGCACTGGCAGGAGCCTGAGGGGCCTTCTGGGAATTAGTTACAGGCAGAACTAGAGAATSAGGATCTGGAGAGCACGGGGAAGCGGAGATTTTTAAGAAAGAAGGAGTATATAGACAATTGACTGTAGCACAGATGGAGAAGAACTTGCTGTTTTGCTTGCAACAGGCCTGAAGAAGAGCGAACAAGGCTCCTGCAGGGCACAGGCATCCCAGAAGCTGTRGACAAGGATCTAGCTAACATCCACCTGGAATACAACTCCATCATCCTGCCCTTCATGAAGTCCCACCCCAAGATCTTTGACCCCAAACTGCATACAGTGGAATTGTATAAGGAACTGGTGGCATTTGTCATGGCTTACAGGTGAGAAGTGAGGGCTTTGCTCCAGCAAGRAGCAAGGACAAGGGATGAGGATTACAGGTTATCTTAGAAGTCACAAAAACTTAAGTAGAAGGTGAAGCTTGCCCTGTGCAACCCATGTGTACCATCAGCTTGTCTTCATCTCCCCCATGTTAGCTTTCAGGAACCTTTGGAGGARGAGGATGAAGATGAGAAGGTGCCCAATCCTCCCATGATGGTGCCTGTAGCAGATATTTTGAATCATGTGGCCAACCACAATGCCAACCTGGAATATTCTCCTGTGAGTGCAAAGCTGCTGTGCCAGGCATTGTCACAGCCTTTCTGTGAGACCATTGGGAATGGGGACACGGCAAGGCAGGGTCTCAGCCCACGGCAGCAATCTCATTAATACGAAGCCTGCTGCATGTTTGGTGTTTGTTAAGAGGAGCTCAGGGTCATTTGAGCTCTCTGAAATGCTGTGTTGAGCAGTTGGATCAGMACAGTTCTCCCTCCCTGCTTGCAGCAATGTTTGAGAATGGTTACAACGCAGCCTGTGAGGAAAGGACAGGAGATCTTCAACACATACGGGCAGATGGCCAACTGGCAGCTGCTGCACATGTACGGCTTCGCAGAGCCCTACCCTGGCAACACCCACGACACGGCCGACATCCAGATGGTGACACTGCGCAGGGCAGCGCTGCAGCGTGAGTGGCACCCACAGCCCGAGTGGGAGAGGATGGGGCAGGGATCTTCCTTAAATAGAGATCAAGAATGACGTGAAAAATAAGCCTGTTCCACAGCAYTTCAGGTGGTGGGCTATGCCTTGGTTTTCTGCAACCTCTTTCCTCTTCTCCATTCACCCTCCCCCTCCACTGCCATCCCGTCTGTATTCACAGCTCTGCTCTCTTCAAAACAGGTGCCAAAAGTGAAGCACAGCAGCAGCTGGTCTCAGAGCAGTGGGACTTCTTGTGCCAGCTGGAGATGGTGGGGGAGGAAGGTGCCTTTGTGCTTGGCTGGGATGAAGTGCTGACAGAAGAAGAGCTGTCCATGACCCTCAAGGTAAGAATGGCCAGGTGGGGCAAGAGCTACACAARGAGAGCACAGAGCAYAGCTGGGCARACCTTGAAGGGGACAAGCATGTGTRGGCAGTTTGGYRCCAATAAYCCTGTGTGAACAGTGGCAAAGGGTGTGGCTGCCCAGCTCCCAGGTGCTGAACTAGCCACCCATGTGTACTCACCTACTTGTCTTAAATGGCTCTACAGCCACTGCTGTTCTAAGATTTTGTAAGTGACAGCTGAGATGTTTTACCAGACTGTCACTAACAGGTTCATCTAACCCACAATTACTTGGAATTAAGTATCTAAGCCAGTTCTAGTCTCTTAACCTRTAGTGCAGCTGAGGAATAACCAAGCTACTCCACATGTCTCCTCTCTTGCCCAGAAGAGAAAGCCTGATGTATTCACACTGACTTATCCCTTTGCCTGGGTCATGACAGGTGCTGTGCATGTCAGAAGAAGAATTCAAGGAGTATAAGGAGCAAGAYGGCTGGGAAGACGACAGTGGGGAAGAGGAAAACTCTACCCTTTCAAATGAGGCTCTCTCCCGACTTAAAACCCCTTGCAAGAAGCTCCTTTATGACAGTGTGCTGCTGACCCTGGAGTCCTACAGGACAGACCTGAGAGCAGAGCAGGACTTGCTAAATAACAAGGAGGCTTATGAGAAACTGAGTCGAAGGGAGCAGCAAGCTCTGCATGTGCGCTATGGACAGAAAAGGATTTTGCATCAGCTGCTAGAGCTGGTACAATAGCAACCTCAGTGYCCCTGGACATGACCTGCTGGGGACAGATCCTGAGAGATGGGTCAGCCTCTGGCCACCTCCTCTGCAGCAGAGAGGACAGATGCCAAGACTRTGGTCACTTGTCCCTCATACAGCTCATAGATCTTTGGCTACCTCTACAGGAAGAAGTATCTTCACAGCACAAAGGTGGTTTTGAGTGGTCTTACTGTACCTTGAGAGCTCTAGAGTATACCATGTTTTCCAGAGGCCTTAAGAAACCCCAGCCCTACTAATGGCTGTTTTAGGAAGGCAGACATACGTTGCCAGAACAGCAGAGGATTCCCTCAGTCAGCATGAGAAATTTAAGGCAAGAGCTGCTCCTTCTCCAGATTAAGAGGGCAGAAACCCAGCTGGTAGCTCAAACCTTAAAGAGATTCAGAGTAAATATCTGGCAGCAGGAGCTGATGATGACACTAAACCTTTCACCTATATTTAGTTTGTGTTAAGTATTTTCCAAAGTATAAAGTATATGATATTCATCCTATTATTGCTCTAGGCATGGTCAATAATGGAAGCAAAATTTATGTGATAGAACAACAGAGTATGGGCCCATAAAAAAATTATATACCATAGATGTCAGCAGCTGTATAGAACAAGGGTTCTTAGAATTAAATCACATTCTCATCTTCATGTTTGTAAATTTACCTTGATCAGACACTGTGATTTTAATATCCTACCCCCAGTAAGTTTCTTCTAACTAATAAAAACAAACTGTAACTTTATTTCAAGTATACAACCTCACCCTAATGGGTATGAGCCTTACATTAGTAAAGAAATTGCTACAACATAAAAATTTGCAAAGGCTATTAAAATAACCTAAAGGGAATAGTAGAAAAGCTTTGATTACTGTCCATCATGACTCCAGAGAAATCCATCAAGTAATGGAAAGAGTAATGAGAGATGGAAATCACCATTGGTGGGATATTTTATTGAGATGTTCTCCAACAGCACCAGGAATTCTTAATAAAATGCTACATCCTGTAATTGTCTTGTTAATACTAACCTGTTTGCTTTTTATTTCAGTGTTAGGACTGTATATCAAAATGTGGAGAATAACGAAACAGCTACCTCCAAGATTTAAGTATAATTAGGAACAATAGCAGCCAAAAGAATGTGGAAGTTTTTAATAAAATATTTCAAAAACTTTCAGAGGGGGAAATTGATGTTTTTAAGCAGAATTCTTTGTCCCATCCATTGATCTCTGTTGCAGATGGAAGCTGATGGTATCATTCTCATCTTTAACCCCTCTTTTGAATACAAATAGATATTACAGGATGTATTAAACAGGTGTTGCTTAATGCTTATGAAAACCTGGCAAYTGTTTAAGAAGCCACCAGAGCTACAGATCAAATCTTATTTGGTACTCAGCCTTGGGTTCTGCATGTCCTGAGCTGAAACTTGAATAAAGGCACCGCCCCAAATGACCACCAGTGACCACCAGGCACCCCTGAGGAGGCCCAGGCAGGCGCAGTGACAAGTGTGACATGAAGTTGCACAAGCTAAATGACTGCATTAGGCAGGCAGTAACTAGGTATTAGAAGGGGGTTTAGGTAAAGTGTGGTGTGTAAAACTTGCTTTTTTACTTCTTGGTGTGCTTGATTTGTGGAAAGCCTTCCACCTCTTGTAGAATAAATAAATACCTCCTTTCTACACCTGACTGCCCTGACTGTTCATAAAATTTGGCAGCCAAGGAGGATATTAAATGCAGTGGCCTGCATCCTACTTGCCCACCTTGTGTAACTGGGATCTTGGCTGAGTTCTGTCCACCTTCCAGGATCTCTACACCAGCCTAGAAGTTCTTAAAGCCTGAAGAGAACCAGCCATGTACAGSAGCTTCAGTACATAACCAGAAACTCTTCTGAGCCATGAGCACAAGGCAGTAAGCTCTGCACATGGTTTGCTAGACTTAAGTGGAAGAAAAAAATCCAATGGCACCTAGACCAGATAAACTGGTTGCTGATAATTCTCTGTATCCTAAGCCAACAGGAGGAGGAGAAGCAACAGCAGAATCAAAAAATTCCAACTTCAAAAGGCTCAGTTTCAGCACAACTGCTGAAAGGAATGCCAGGGAATTGCAGGATCTGGCCACAATCTACTCCTTGACACAGAGGTGACTAATGCCTAGAACAGACAGAGAGAAAATTCCCTTTGAGTAGCCATCTACTGGCAGAGCTGGCTCAGTGGTCCCTCAGAGCTGTTTTTTTCCTCCATGCAGCAAATGCAAAGCCAGGTACAGGGCCCCTTAAACCCAAGTAGGAAATCATGACCTCTCTGCCCACACCACAGCAGYCACCTTAGCTTTAACAAACTAGTGATGTTATGTAAAAAGAAAGCACTGAAGCTCTTATTTCCTAGCATCTGCTAGGWTAAAGGACCTTGCAATATTAACAACACTGAAGCTGCCTTGCCCTACAACAGCTAAGCACAACCTTGGGTAGATCCCAGCTGCAGGGAGATCACAGCAGGGTGAAAGGCACTAGAAATAAAGCTGATGGCTGTCTACACTGTATCCCTCTGCTGCAGACTCCTGAGACAAACTCTGCTGATGAACTTGCAACTAAACCATTTCTATTTCCACACAACTGTCCTTTCTATTGCACTTCAAAACAAGGCCCTGTCTAGTCATTACATCTGCCCACTGATCTCATGCTAGAGAACAAACCCAGTTGCTTTCAGCAGGCAGTGCCCAAAACACACTGGAAAACTGCAGGTTTTGGATGGGTGGAACAGACTTTGGAAGACACCAACTGGCCAGGACAGAACTGGAGAGAAGAAGCACAGTGGCACGTGCTGCATGTCATGACTTTAATGTGTAACTACAGTATGCATACATACAAGAGTGGGAGAACTAAAGCCCAAGAACTAGAAAGGCTACAAAATACAACACGTGGACCAATACTTTACAAAACATTGAAAATCCTTACAAAATGGGCTGTATTGGTCCTTTGGGTTTTTTGTTTTGTTTAATTTTTCTTTTTTCTTCTTTTTTTTTCCTTTTAATTTTTTTTTTTTTT